GTTTTTCCCTATTATTTATCTAATTATCCAAAAATAATCGAAATTCCATTACCTAAAAAAAATTTTTAATTAAAAAAAAATTTTAAAAAAAGCCTTTTTTGGTAATGGGTGGTATTGAAAAGGAAATGGGATTATGTTTTTTTTTTTTTTTTAAAGGGCAAAATTTTTATTTGGGTTTTTTTTATTATAATTTTTAAAAATAGAAATAAAATAAAATTATTTAAAAAATAAATAAAGGATATATAAAGATTCCACTTAGCCCCCCCCTTTTCCTATTATTTTTTTTGGGTTCAAAAATTTTAATTACAATAATAACAACCCCCCCAATGTGCAATATTTTTTTTTGTAGCTATTCAAAATAATAATTTTACTATTTCATTCAAACAATCGCATATTTGATATCTCATTTAATTTTAATTTTTTATTTCTTTAATTTTTTTTATATTAACCTTTTTTTTTTTTTTTTTTTTATTATTTTATTTTATTTTTTTTAATTTGGTTTATTTTTATTTATAGATTAATGAATATTTAATTCAAAAATATAAAAAAAAAAAAAAAAGAAGAAATAAAAATATAAAAGAAAAAAAAAAAGGTAAAGAATTTGCTAAATAATAATAATAAATTCTCAACCAGGTGCCCATATAATTTTTTTTTTTTTTGTTTTTTTAATATCTATCACTTTTGACACATTTCCACCTTTTTTTTTTTTTTTTTTATCGTCTAAATTTATATTTGGGAAAAAAAATAATTCAAAAAAAAAAAAATTTAAAAAAATAATAAATAAAAAATAATTTAAAATAATAATAAATAAAATAATTATTGATAATTAAAATAATAAAACACATAGATTTTAATCCCAACCGAATTATACTATAAAAGATAAATCAACAAAAATAATAACAAATTTAAAAATAAACTAAAAAATAAAAAAAGATATCTTTTTCGCTATAATTAATAACACAGTCTCTTGTTTTTATTTTCATTAAATTATATTGTTATTTTTTTTATTATTATTAAAATTTTTTTTTTTAATAAAACTTATAACAACAATAACAATATTAACAATTGTAACTAATAAATTTTGTATTCACACAACCAACTTTAATTCAAAATCCAGTAAGTGTGTTTTTAATTTTTTTAATATTATTTTTGATGATCACCTCCCAACTTCTTTCTAATTCAAAAAAAAAAAAACCACTATATATTTATTTAAAAAAATTAGCTAATAACACTAATTTTCACATTCACTATATTGATAATGATATTTTTAAATTCACACACAAAATAAAATTCACTTTATTTTACCCCATTCCTCTTTCACTATAAAAGTATCTTTATTGTTATAAAAACACCAGTTGCAACAAACACATCATTTTTTAAATCTATAATCTTAATAATAATAAAAAGTAATGGTGCTGTATGTTGATATTTTTTATTTAATTTTTTTTTATTATTATTTATTTATTTATTTTTACACCCTTTCCACCATCACTACCATCATTACCATCATTATTATCACACACCACAGCACTAAAAAAAAAATAAAAAAAACTTTTGGATTTTGCGCATTTAAACCCCAAAAATAATTAAAAATTATCACATTTCAATCATATGATTTTCCAAAACTCTTTCATTATCTTTTTTATTATCATAAAATTATCTTACTAATATTATTTTTATTCAATAAAATAAAAAAATAAAATAAAAATAAAAAACTCAACCCATTAAAGTGTTTTAGAGAGTAAATAATAATAGTAATAATAACAGAAAAATTTTTAAAATTTTAAAAAAATATCAATAGAAAACTCATATGTAAGTATAAATTGATTAATCATTTGTTATTTTTATTTTTAATCACTATTTTCATCATTTTAATTAAAAAAAAAAAAAAAAAATAAACATTATATTTAATAAATAATTATTTAAAAAAATAATTTAAAAAATATTTATTTTTGAATTTTTTTAAATTATTTTTTTTAATTTTTTTTTAATTTATTTTTTATTTTTTTTTTATCGCTCAAAAAAAATTCTTCGCATTGACCAATACACCCAGACACACAACACTTATTTTATTAACAAATAATAATAATAATAATAATAAAAAAGCAATACATCCAATAATACATCTTTATATACTCACCTTATAAAACATAGTATTTTTTTTTTTTTGAATGTATTGAAATATTTTTTTTTTTTTTTTTTAATTAAAAATAAATTTAATTAAAAAATTCCCAAAGAGAAAAACAAAATTAAAATAATTGTGTGAATAATAATAAAAATAATAGTAAATTAATACCCTAATAAATTTTACTTAAATGTTTTTTTTTTAGTATTATTTTAAATAGTAGATATTTTGTGTGTATAATAAGATATTAATATATTTTTTTTTAAAAAGTTTTAAATTAGTTTTATGTTGTAAAATAAATAATAATAATAGTAAACAATAATTTAATTAAATAATAATAATAATAATAGATAATAAAATAATAATAATAATAATAATAATAATAAATAATTTTTTCGTTGTGAATAAATAGAAATAATTTTTGAAAAAAAAAAAATCATTATAATAATAAAACTGCTATATTATAATAATAAAATATTTTTTTCTATATATATATAATAATAATAATATAATAATAATGCTTCAAAGAGGATTTTCTTTATCATGCTTACCAAATAATAGTATTAATAATGTACAATCAGAAGATCTTTCCCCAAGACATCAAACCCTACCCTCTTCCTTGTAAGTAAAAGTCTCTTTAAAACACAAATAATAAAAAATTAAAAACTAATACTAATTATTTTATAGCAACAGTAACCAAAGCCATTTACAACAAGTAAAGAATTCATCAAGATATGAAGAGGATTTTTGTGAATTAGAAAAAGTTGGTAAAGGTGGATATGGATCAGTTTATAGAGTAAAAAATAAATTAGATGGTGAATATTATGCACTTAAAAAGATTCCTTTTAAAAACACTACCAAAATATTTTTAGAAAAAGTATTAAGAGAAGTTAAGACATTAGCATCACTAAACCACAGAAATATTGTTAGATACCATTCAGCATGGTTAGAAACCGAGGAAATTGTTTCAACATCAGTTTCTAATTCATTAGCATCCTCAATAAATGGTACACTCGCCCAACAACAACAAAATCAAAGCAAATTGGAAGAACTAAAGGCCACAATAAATAACAATCATTTACTATACGAAGGTAATTGGGGTACAACCTCAGAAGCTTATCTTAGTGAAAGTCATTCTTCCAATCAACATGTAAGAAAGGCAACCTCAAAAAAGAAAAGAAATGCAAATTTATTAAAAAAGAAATCTATTAATAAGAAGAAGAACAATAACAACAATTCGGACTCTGATGATGTAGATAGTTTATATAAATTACAATTCCCACCAGAATTAGAAGAAGACTTTAAAATCTTTAGAAAACAAGCATCAATTCGTGAAAGCATGTGTGCTGGTAGCACTGGTAATGACTCGAGCAACATAGACGAGTCAGAAGATAGTGCTGTTAGCAGTGGTACTGGATTTTTTAAAACTCCAAAGAAACACTATACCAATTTTAGTTTTGATGAAGATAGCGTCTCAAATAGTGGCGCTGGTGAAGAAAACTCGTCCTCGATCATTTGCCAACGTCGTAACAAAACCGACATTTCGAGTGATAACGACGATAGTGATGGATATTCCGAAGAAGAGTCTGAAGAGTCTAGCTCTGGTTCTGATTACAGTAATGGGTCAAATGATTATTCAGAATCTGAAGAGTCCGAAGAAGAATCAGATAATATTTTTGACAGAGAAAATAGTAATAGTAATAAAAATAATGGATTTTATAATAATTTGATACCCAATCCAAAACCAATTCCAACATCAACCACACCACCAATTACCATGCCATCACCCAATAATTTAAGAAATGGAAATAATGGTTTAATTAATAATAACAATAATAAATTAAAAGTTAATTTTCAATCATCGCTATCACCATCCTCCACTAAAATTAACAAGATCACAACACTTTATATTGTAATGCAGCTTTATTCTCAAACTCTTTCTCAATGGCTAGAGAATAGACCACCAGACCAAGTTAATGAAGAAGAAAATTTAAATATTTTTAAACAAATTTGTATTGGTCTTAGATATATTCACTCCAAAGGAATTATCCATAGAGATTTAAAACCTGGTAATGTTTTTCTTGTAAGAATCGAGGACCAACAGTCATTTAATGTTTCATCATCATTTGAAGAAAACCCAGAAGGTGGTGGCCTACTAGTTTCATTAGGTGATTTTGGTCTAGCTGTACAACATACCATAGTTTCAACCCCATCCCCAACCCCTACCTCAACCCCATCATTAACACCTGTAAATACCAATATGCTATTATCAAATATAACCCCAATTGACCAAATTATTACGATTAATCAACAATTATCAAACAACACCAATCCATTAAATAGTTCGAATTCAAGCACAACTACAAATTCATTATCCTCATCTTCCTCAACCATTTTAACACCACCATCTTTATCTGTTCAACAACAACAACAACAACAACAATCACCACAACCAATTTTACCACAACCATCAACCTCCTTATCATCATCATCGACTACACCATCTGTTTCCACTGGTACAAGTCTCTCACGTTCACTCGAACACTGTAAACACACAAGTGCCGTTGGAACATTAACATATAGTAGTCCTGAACAAAAGAAAGGTTTATATAATGAAAAAACTGACATCTATAGTTTAGGTATTATTTTGTTTGAACTATATTTCCCACTAACCACCAGAATGGAAAAAGCCCGTGTATTAAGTGACCTTAGAAACGGAATTTTCCCAAAATCTTTTGCTCAGAAATATCCCCAAGTAGCCGATTTAATTCTTCAAATGATGAAGTCTAATCCTGATGAAAGACCCTCCGCAAGTGATATATTAAAATCTGAAATTTTTGGTCAAGTCCTTAGTGTACCAGAATTAGAATCGATAATTAAACAACAGCAATCTTTAATTGAGCAACTTAAACAAGAAATTTACCAATTAAAATCTCCAAATACTTTAACTCCACAACCAACCCCTCATCCACCCCAGCTAATCAGTAATAGTTTAAATAATAATAACACTGTAAATCTAAATAATGTAAATTTTAATAATAATATATCTTGTCCAGAGCTAGTTGAAAGTTCTTTTATCAATCCAACTAGATCCAATTTTTATTAAAAAGAGAAAAATATTATTTGTAAAAAAAAAAAATTGTTACAATAATTTCTTTTTTTTTTCTTTTTTTTTACAATACTTTTTTTTTAATTTTAAAATAAAGAAAAAAAATTAGAGTATAACTTTAATTTTTTTTGTAGGACCTTTTAAAAACAAAAAAAAAAAAAGAAAACATCAAATATTATTCAATTTGGATATTTATGACCAATACCTTACCATTTTTTTATTTTTTATTTTTTCTTTTTTTTTTTCAATCGCTTTTGTAAAGTTTAAAATATTTTTTTTTTAATAAAATAAAATTTGTTTGCAAAAAAAAAAAAATATTGTGTATTTTTTGTTTAAATAAATTTATTTAAACTAATGATGTTTAGTTTTTATAAAAATTTTAATATTATTTATTATAAAATATTAAAATCTAAATATACTTTTTTATTATTTTATTATAAAATTAATTTGTTTTTATAAATTTAGTCAAAACCTCTTTAATTTTTACATAACCGTCGGTGGAATTTGGTGAACCAATTGTATAAAGGATACCTTTACTTTCATAATACTTTAATAGTGGAATTGTGCTTTGCTTGAAAGTATCGATTCTGTGTTTAAAAACTTCAATATCTTTATCATCAGATCTACGTACTAATGGTTCTCCAGTGACATCATCAATGCCTTTAACTTTTGGTGGTGAAAAGATGTTATTATATACTCTGCCACTGCCTGGATGTACCCATCTATCTTGAACTCTTTCTGCCAATACATCTTCTGGTACATCTAAATATAATACTAAACTTAAGGGTATATTCTTTTTAGTTAAAAATCTATCTAAATGTTCTGCTTGTTCTGGATTTCTTGGGTAACCGTCTAATAACCAGTTCTATAATATAATAATGATAAGAATAAATTAGTTTAGTGATAAAAAGAAAAGACTATTTATATAATATAAAACTTACAGATTTATCATCTAAAGCTTTTTCAATTATATTTAACATAATATCATTTGAAATTAATTCACCTGCAGCCAATTTTGAACTAATTGATCTACCTAATTCACTATCCTCTTGTGATACTTCACGTAAAATTTGTCCAGTAGAAATTGGTTGAACATTATAATCATTCTTTAATTTTTCTGATTGAGTACCTTTACCTGAGCCCTAGGGAAAAAAAATAAAAGAAAAAAAGTAAATGTTAATATTTTATTAATTATTTAACAACTTGATAAATTTACATACTGGTGCACCAATGATTGTTAATCTTAAACCCTCTCTAGATCTTGAAGTTGAAAAACCTCTATATATCATATTCGAAGCTGATGATGTATTTTTATAATTTAAAGAAATTAAAGTTCTTAACATTTTATCTTTATATTTTAAAAAAAATGCTTTTTTTTTTTTTTTATTTTAAATTAAATTAAATTATTATTATAAAATTTTAAAAGTACAACAAAATATATTAATTAAATTTTAATTTAAAAAATTATTATTAAATAAAATGTTAGTTTTGAATAATGGGTGTAACAGATTTTTAACTATAAATTGAAAAATCTGAAACTACTATTAAATTTTGTTATTCGTTTGTGTTGAAATATGAATGAATGAATATGAATGAAAAATAAAAAATGATAATATCAAAAAAAAAAATAAAAAAAAAAAAATAAAAAATAAAAAAATAAAAAATAATTTTAAAAAAAAAAAAATAGAAAAAAAGATTTTTTTTTATAATTTTTTATAAAAAATAATAATTATTATTATTATTTTTATTTAACTGATGTGACACTTTACCTTTTTAAAGAATAAATAAGAGAAAAGAAATAAATAAATAAAAAAAAAAAAATAAAAATAAAAAAAATAAAAATAAAAAAGTACATTTCATTTTATTTGAAAAAAAAAAGGATTCTTTTTTTTTTTTTTTTTTTTTTTTTTTTTCCGGGGAAAAAAACCCTTTTTTAACAAAAAAAATTGCATCATTTAGATGTTATAAAAGAAAAAAAAAAAAAAAAAAAAAAAATTGTATACATAAAATTTTTTATTTCTATTTTAATGATTCCAAGTATTAGTTTTATAAAATTTCATTAAAAAATAAATAAAGATGTTTTAAAGTTTTTTGGGAATATTTCCTCCATAAAAATAAGTCAATTATTTATTTCACTTTTTAAATTACCAAAGCAAAAAAAAAAAAAAAAAAAGCACTCCACTTTTTTTTTTTTCAAATTTTATTACACAATAGTAATATTTTAAAAATAATAAAAATTTGAGCAATGAATTATTTTTTTAAAGAGAGTTCATATTTTTTTATAAATTTCACATCAATAATTGTTTATAAATAAAAAAGATGATATCACAATTATTTTTCATATTATTTTTTTTTCGTATTATTTTTTTTTAACGTTATTTTATTTATTTTTTTGATAAAAAACTATTATTTTTTTCTTTTTCCCAGTTTCACACATAAAGAAATCGGTTATTTTCACCATTTCATACTTTTTTCACCTGTTGCACTTTTTGCACCTTTTGCACCACCCACTTTTTAGTGGTCTGAAAGTATGGGTATGATTGGGGAAAAAAAAAGATTTTATATTTTTAAAAAAAAAAAAGAAAAAAAACGATATATAAAAAAAAAAAACAATATATAAAAAAAAAATAAATAAAAAACAAATAAATATAAAAATCATTTTAAAAGATACTTCCACGATAGGTATAATTGCCTATATAATATTTTCCTTTTTTTTTTTTTTAATTTTTTTTATTTATATATTTAATTTCAAAATAATTTTAAAATCCCCACAAACTATTTTAATTTTTTTATTAATAGAATTCACCATGGACAAATAATAATTATTTTTAAAAAAAAAGAAAAAAAAAGATATTTTTTTTTAACCGACCTTTTACAAAGAAAAACATTCACAAACTCAGCATATTATAATAAGACCGTTACACACCACCACCTGGTTGTGTGCGGAGGGGTGGATGTGTGGAATTTTATTTTTTTTTTTTTTATTTTTTTTTATTTTAAAATAAATTTTATTTTTTTTTTATTTTTATTTTTTTTTTTTAAATATTTTTTCACCTAACATTCACACATAAAAAAAAAAAAATACACTCCTTTTTTTTTTTTTTTTGTATTTATAAAATATTGTGTTAACAACTTTTTATTTATTGTTTACCACATATAATTTATTTATTTATTTATTAATTTATTTAAACCTTTTCTTATAATTTTTTTTATTTATAAAAAAATTTTAACATATTAAAAAAAAAAAAGATCACTCGTGTAATCACAATCAATCAATCAATCAATCAATTAAATAAATATATATAAAAAATGGCTGAAGGTGTTTCAATCGCTACAGGTTTAAATCCATTAACAGATCCAATTGCTCTTTTTATTGTACAAGTTCTATTAATTGTAATTATATCTAGACTTTTAGCATGGGGTTTAAGTTATTTAAAACGTAAGTATATTTAATATTTTTTTTTTATTATTGGCACACATCAAATATTAATATTTATATATTTTTTTTTTTAACATCACTATAGAACCAATGGTAATTTCAGAGGTTATTACTGGTATTATTTTGGGTCCATCAGTTTTAGGCCAAGCTAAAGTTTTTTCACTTAATGTATTTCCAACAGCTGCTCCACCAAGTGTAGGCACATTAAACGTATTTGCTAATATTGGTTTAATCTTTTTCATGTTCATGGTTGGCTTAGAAGTTGATATTTCAATTTTAAGAACTAACTTGAAGGCATCATTGATTATTTCATTAACCTCTATCATCGTTCCATTTGGTATGGGTGTAGGTTTAGCTGCTTTATTACATCATTACATGCCCTTCAATATCGATGCTTCACACGAATATCAAGATGTTAATTTAGGCCTTTTCTGTATATTTGTTGGTGTTGCCATTTCAATTACTGCTTTCCCTGTATTAGCTCGTATTTTAACCGAACGTAATTTAATGCAATCAAGAGTCGGTATTAGTGCTATTGCCGCTGCTTCAGTTGATGATGTCATCGCTTGGATTTTATTAGCTGTTGTCGTCTCATGGGGTAACAATGTTAAAACTGGTAATGAGGGGGGTGCCAATTTAGGTGCACTTTGGACCTTTTTAATGTTAATCGGTTTTGTAGTATTCATTGGTACAGTTGTTAGATTTGGTTTAGATTATTTATATAAAAAATTAGTTAAAAACGAATGTAAGTTGTTTTTTTTATAAATTTAAAAAATATAAAATAATTTAAAATATTAATTTTTTTTTTTTAATTTTTTTATTTGATCAGCATCCAAACATAATTTCTTAGTTTTTACTTTATGTTTATGTTTAGCATCAGCTTTTTATACTCAAGTAATTGGTGTCCATGCTATTTTTGGTGCTTTCTTATTAGGTATTGCAACTCCTCGTTATGATGGTTTCCATATCCATTGTACTGAACGTATTGAAGATATGGTTGGTATCATTCTTTTACCATTATACTTTACCTACTCTGGTCTTAGAACTTCATTAGAGTCAATTAACAGTGGTACTGCTGGTGGTTTAACCCTTTTCATTATTTTCGTTGCCTGTTTAGGTAAATTTGGTGGTGCCACTCTTGCCTCAAGATTCACAAAGAAATCATGGAGAGAATCATGTACTATTGGTGTCTTAATGAACACCAAAGGTCTTGTCGAACTTATTGTATTAAATATTGGTTTAGATATTGGTGTCTTAGATCAAACTACCTTTACCATGTTTGTTATTATGGCTTTAGTCACCACATTCATGACTACCCCAATCGTTCATTTCATCTGGACAAAATGGGAAGAAAAACAAGCTCGTATTCCAATGGTTCCAAGAGAAAAAGGTTTCTTCAACATCCTTTTATATGTTTCAACCAATAGAGTTGCCACCGCAATGACTCATATTGCTGCTGCCATTACCCCTTCAACTGAAGATTCAAAGAAGAAATATCAAGTTAAATCCCTCTTCCTTAACTCCACCAGTAACAGATATTCATCTTATTTCTATTCAAGCAATAACATTAACAATCTTCCACCTCAAAAGAAAGAAATCTATAGATCACTCCAATCCGAATCAAACGAAGTTGGTGTTAAATTCAAACCACTCTTTGTCAATGCTACCGATGCTGCTGAAGGTGTAACTACTATTGCTAAAAGACAATGGCCAGATGTTGTATTATTAGGTTATTCTGATCGTGGTGACGATCAAACTGTCGATGAAAGCCATCATGCAGGTACTGAAACCTTCTATTCTAAACTCATCATCAAAACTTTACAAACTGTTAAAAGTTGTGTTTGTGTATTTGTCGATAAAGGTTTGGAAAGATTCCATGTACAACATAATCTCTTATTCGCTTATTCTGGTGAAGATTTCGAAAATGATGCTCTTACCATTGTTATGAAGATGTCAAGACGTTCAAACATTAAAGTTACTGTTTTAACCAACGCCACTAAAACCCTTTTACAAAAACTTGAAGCCAAACATATTAAATCAGAAAACTATACTATTGTCGAGACTCACAACCCATATCAAGATTTATTAAGCAAATCATCCGAAGATCAAAATGATTTCTGGATGATAGTTACTGCTGTTCAAAGAGAAGACGCCACCAAACAAGAAAGATTAATCAACACCACTAAAATATCTTTATTATTAGTCCACCCATCAAATACTTTATTAGATCCATCATTAAAAACAAGTTCAAGCTTTGCAAATCTTGAAAGACTTGGTGGTAATTTAGGTCAAGATGATATTGCACCAATTATTGATGAAGAATATGATGATAAAATTGGTATTGAAATGCAATAATAATAATAATATAATAATACAACAATATTTAAATTTTAATCATAATAAAAGGAAGAAAAAAATAATTTTAATTTGTATAACATATTGTTATATAATTAAAAAAAATATTTTTTAACCATAAAACTTTTTTTTTCTATTTTAATTTTTAATTTTAATTATAATAATTTGGTTTTGCAAAATCAACTTTAAAGTTGGTTTCTTCAATTGCCCAATAGATTTAAGAGGTGAAACTATATTTAAGGTCGACTAATTATTTTTTAGTAAATTTATTTATATTTTTATATTTACTTAAAATCACAAAAAATTATAAAAAAAAGACTGAATTTTAATTTTTAATAAAAAGTATACAATTGTATAGTTATATCTATATTTGTTTATATGTATTTTTATTTATATAAATTGTTTGATTTTTTTTAAATGAAATGTATTGATTGCTTGTAAGAGGTTGAATTTGAGTTTAAATGGAACTATTTAAAAACCTTATTACAAAGAATAAACCTATACCCCAATGCTTGATTTGTGTCTTAAAATGTGTTGACACTGAAAAATAAAGAATAAAAACCCCAATATTTGATGTGTGACTTAGCTGCGATGGCACTTAAAAGAAAGAATAACAATAACCCCAATATTTAATTTGTGACTTAGCTGCGATGATACCGATATAGAAAGAATAAACATGAACCCAATGTTAGATTTGCGACTTAAATTATGTTGGCACTTAAAAAGAAAGAATAGACAAGAACCCAATATTTAATTTGTGACTTAGCTGCGATGATACCGATATAGAAAGAATAAACAAGAGCCCAATTTTTGATTTGCGACTTAAATTATGTTGGCACTTAAAAAGAAAGAATAAACAAGAACCCAATATTTGAAATGCGACTTAAATTATGTTGGCACTTAATAAGAAAGAATAGACAAGAACCCAACGTTTGATATGTGACTTAAATTATGTTGGCACTTAAAAAGAAAGAATAGACAAGAACCCAATGTTTGAATTGTGAATGAAACGTATTGATCCCGAAAAGAAAAACTTTAACTAAAATTATAAAAATTAAATATAAGTTTCTTTTAAATTCAAGTATAAAAATAATTGTTTAAATATTATAAATATAGTTACCTTAAGAGTTGTTTTGCTATAAAGCTGACTTGGAACATCTAGAATTGTTTCTGTAAAGTTGAATTAATGTGATGCTTAATTTCTATTATTAATGTTGGTGAAGATGGATTGTTTCTTGGATTGACGAAGTTTACTTTTTTTAATTTCATCGATTTAATAATTGAATGAAAAGATTTAATTAATAATTTGGTCTTCACCGATTTCTTAAAAAGAAACATTGAATGAATTATCAAAACTATTAATTTAATCACCTCCGATTTCAATATTAATCAATTTCCATTATCTAAAGCTCATCATCATAATATTAATCTTCATCTTATCACTTTATAAACTTTCATCATTAGTTACTTTCTGCATAAAATATTAATGAAATTAATTAGTATATATTTATTAAGTATAAAAATGAATGTGTAAATTACTTACTGTGATGTTATAAAATTCTTCTCTACAGTTTGGGCAGGTGTTGATACGTCTAGACCATTGTTCGATACATGCAAAACAAAATTTATGAAGGCAGTCGATTGTAGCCATATCATTTATATCGATATAGTTAAGACAAATTGTGCATTTGTCCTCGCTTTCTAAACGTTCACTTCCCAAATTTTCTCTTTCTGATGTTTCTCTTTCATCACTCTCTCTTTCTTCATTGTCCCTTTGAATTCTGTCTAATCTTACCCTTTCTTCTCTTTCCCTTTCTTCCCTTTGTATTTCTCTTTCCTCTATTTCTCTTTGTCTTTGTTCTCTTACTCTTTCTGTTTCTTGTCTTTGTCTTATCTTTTCTGCTCTTTCTCTATCTTTTTGGATTCTTTGAAGTCTTGATCTTTCTTCTTTTTCAATTTGTTCTCTTTCCCTTTGAATAATTTCCAATTTTTTTCTTTCAAGACCTTCTTTTATTTGTCTTTCTATTTCTAATATTTTAATTCTTTCTATTTCCTCCCTTTCTCTGTATTCTTTTTGAACTCTTTCTATTTCTCTGAGTCTTTGTAATTTTTGTCTCTCTTCTCTTTCTTTTTCAATTCTTAATCTTTCCATTTCAACTATTTGCTTATCTCTTTTTAAACTCTCTTCATCTTCGAGTTTTTGTTTTTTGGAAAATACTTTGTCACATTTAATTATTTCGTTATCATATTCTAATGATCTCTTCTTGGTTGAATGATTTCCAGTTGATGCAATTGTTGATGGAACAGATGAATATGTTTGTGGATTTGAGGTTTTACGTTTTTGAGAAGAATTTGAATGAAATTGAGATTGTGGGAGATTGAGTGATGAGACACTTGAGCAGATAAATTGGTGTACTGGTGATTGATGGCTTTCTGTTCTATTTTGTGAGTATTGTTGTGGGGATTGGTCACAATGATTTAGAGTTAAATTATTATTGGTTGGGGTAGAAATTTGTGTGTAGTTGATGTTGTTATTGTTGACTGGGTTAGACTCTTGTGTGCAGGCGATGTCACCATTATTGATTGGGCTAGAACGTTGTGTGTAGGCAATACTGCTATTATTGTTAATTGGGGTAGACTCTTGTGTGCAGGTGATGTCGCCATTATTGATTGGGCCAGAACGTTGTGTGTAGGCAATACTACTATTATTGTTGATTGGGGTAGACTCTTGTGTGCAGCTGATGTAACCATTATTGATTGGGCCAGAACGTTGTGTGTAGGCAATACTACTATTATTGCTGGTTGGGGTAGACTGTTGAGTGCATGTGATGTAGCCATTATTGATTGGGCCCGAACCTTGTGTGTAGGCAATACTGCTATTATTAATGACTGGGGTAGCATGTTGAGTATAGTTGATGTTACTATTATTGTTGCTATTATTGTTATTGTTATTGTTATTGTTATTGTTATTGCTATTGTTATTGTTATTGTTATTGTTATTGTTATTGTTGTTGTAAGCAAAGTATTTATTTATAAAATAAACTAATGAAAAACTAATAGTAACAAATAAAAAAACAATTATTAAATTATTCATTTTTAAATGGTTATTAATAAATAGTTATGTTATTAGGTAAATTATTTTATATATATAAAAAATTATTATTATTATAAAAATTTATTAAATGTGAGAAATATTATAAAAAAAATAAAAGTATATGATTATTTGTATGAATAAAATAATAAATTAATTTTAATATTTATCAATAAATTTTTTTTTTTTTTAATTGTTTTAGAATTTGAAACAAATAAAATTTTTTTTTTTCAAATATAAATTTTTAAAAAATAAAAAATAATTAATAAAAAATAATTAATAAAAAATAAAAAATAAAAAATAAAAAATAAAAAATAAAAATAAAAAATAAAAAAAAAAAGATGAATAATAATTATAATATTAATTTAGGTATTACAATTTGAGTTAATTTAAATTTCACAATAATATTTTTTAATTTTTTGAAACAAATGAGTTTGAATGAATTATTATCACCTGCTGTGATTGAGAGTGAGCTTTGCTCATTGTTATCTGATGAAATAGTTTTGAAATAAGTCCTAGGTTCTAAATGCCATGTCTTTACCATCACATAAAGAAATCTCGGCCGATGAACCTAAACTTCTAATTGATCGGCTGGTGGAAAAGCAAAAATACCAAATTATTCTTTCCTTCCATTATATTGAACGGAAATAACAGTTACCTTATCTTAGTGCCAAAAAATTCACGAGATAAAAAAATTTCACTTAATTTCTTCTTTTGCAAAATAAAAACAGAGTTTCCATCAGTATTTGTTCTATATCTAATAATAATAAGGATTTTTTTTCATAACTTTGGTTCACAATCTTTTTGTTCGTAAAGTGGTGTAATTTGGATGAGATCTGGATTTGTATTGATACATTCAAAACACCTTTTGTTTGCCCTATAACTAACAAAATTAACTTTTGGTGTAACATATCTCATCCTCTAAATACACATTCCATTCCAAAATCAGTAACCCATAAAAAACCTCCTAAGTCATATGAAAATCCAATAACAGACTCTCTATCTAAAAGATTAAAATCATAATTTACAAAACTTATAGAAACTGTTGAAACATAGATAGAAAATATTTAATTAAATAAAAATTTTTTTTTATTTTTATTGTTTATTTTTTATTTATTTATTTTTAAAAATACATTTTTTTCAAGGTTTTATAAAAATACATTAATAATTTTATAATTAAAAACAGTTAATGGGTGTGTGTAGTAGAAAGGCCATTTATTTGTTTAATTTGTTATATTGGGTTATGATTTCTTTTCAAATATAGAAACCGATTTTTTTACAGGGGCTTTTCCAATTCGCAGTTGAGGGTGATTGATTATTGTTATTTTTAAACTGATTAAATTTGGATATTAATGTTGATGCTGAAACTGTGTGGTTCAAAGATGGTCTAACTGGTGAGGGTGTTGATGATGTAAGGTATGGTGAACTGCTGTTATTGTTTGTTGAAGATGATGCTGCACTTCCACTGCCACCGACTATTGATGGTGGTATTGAATGTAAAGAGTTTGTGTTGATGTGAAACTTTTTTAATTGGACTTATTGTAGTTGCTGCACCTGAAGAAATTGAGGATGCTGATGATGTTGATGGCGTTTTATTATGACTAACGGTGGTGGTAGTGGTAGTGGTAGTAGCATTTTTTCCAATATTACTGCTTGTACTAATGCTATTACCTGTGGTACTTTTGCCTACATTACTACCTGTGCTAATACTACTACTTGTACTACCGTTGCTGCTTGTACTGATGTTGCTACTTATACGAAGATGTTAAATCAGTTTTTGATGATTGAGTCGAAAGTGTGTCACTATCACTGATGCCGTTGTTACTACTATTAAATGCTGGTGAGGGTGTACCAGAAAAACCAATACTTCTAAAAAAGGGTCGAAGAATCAATTAAATTATGAAAAAAAAGGATTTATTTAAATGATAGTTTTACTGAATATCAAAAATAATTATACACCTCCAACCACATTTTTTTCATTTAAAAAATATAAAATTGCATCGAAATAAAAAAAATGAGGTTGGATGTGTATGGTATAAAATATTGAACTGGTTCTTTCCCTTCTTTTAATCAAGAGTTTAATGTGTACGAAGTTTTTAAAAATTTTTTTATTCCCTATTTATGCAACCTTAAAAAATTTATTTATTTATAAATAAAAATAATAAAAATATCACCTTTAATATCATAATTGATATTTTTCAACTCAATTTTTATTTTTTTGAGTTAAAAAAATAATTAACATAAAAAAATAATGAAACTGTTTTTTTTGTTTAATATTTCGCTGTCTTGCATTAAACAACAACTTTTGAAATGGTGAATGATTTTTATCTTAAGAAATACCTCAATAGAGCCACGAGTGGACAACATCACTATTTGATTTATTTTTTGAATTTAAAAAAGAATATTTTATAAGAGTACCAAAGGTTGAATTTTATTTAAAGTTTGTTGTTATAAGGTGGGGAGAACTATGTAATGGCAATGTATTGATTCACAAGTTGAAATTTGTATACAAATGAAAAGTTTCTATCTTTGCTGTTTGGGGAACCTTCCTATTGAAATAAATTTAATGTTTATTCTATTTTTATTATTATTTATATTATTTTCTAAAAAAATTCAGAAAATCCAATTTATTTTTATTCACATATAATTGTTATACATTCTTTTTTAAATTATTTTTTTTTTTTTCTGTTTTTTTATCAATATTTTTAACCCACAAATATTTTTGGTATAAGACAAAAAAAAAAATAAAAAAAAAAAAAAATAAAAAAAAAAAAAAAAAATTTCAATGATCAATGAATAATTTTTTTTTTTTTTTAAAAATTACAAATAATTATAATCCTCATAGTTATTTGTAATTTTATATAGGAAATAACAAAAAAAAAAAAAAAAAACTATTATTTAAAATAAATAAAGCCATCCAAACCCAAATATATTTTTTTTTTTATTTTAAAAAAAAAATATTTTTTTTATTTTTTAAAATTTTTTTTTTATTATTTTTTTAAAATTTTTTTTTTATTTTTTAATTTTTTTTTTTTTGATATTATCATCAATTTTTTGTATTTCTATATTTTCTTTTTTTCATATATTTGTATATTAAATTTTAATAAAAAAAATGGTTTATCACTCAAACTTCAACGATGAATCAGCTCAATACCGTTTAGTTGGTAACATTCCAATTTTACCATTAAAAACCAACCATAAAGGTCCAGCTCCAAAAGCAGGTATGATTCATTCAAATTACACCAATCATTATTTTTAATTAAAAAAATCATTCAAAAAAAAAAATAAATTCTATTTAAATATTCAATAATAAAAAAAAAAAAAAAAAAAGAAATAGAAATGATGTTCAATAAAATTAATCATAATTAAATAAAATTAATAACTATCAGTTTTTAATATACACAGATAAAATAAAGATATTAATTTTTTTATTTATTAATATTTAGATGCCAACTCTGGTGATATTATTGATGAAGCTCTTGATTTATTCAAAGCCAACATTTTATTCCGTAATTTTGAAGTCCAAGGTAATGGTGATCGTGTTTTAATTTACCTTACTCTTTACATTACCAAATGTCTCTTAAAGATTGCCAATATGAGCAAAGCTGATGCCGATAAAGCTCTCTTTTTATTAGCTCAAGAACAATTCTCAATTCCAGGTGAAGCTTCATTCCCACTTGGTGGTTTAGTTAATGTTCCAAATACTCGTGATGGTAAGTGAATCATTACACAATAACCAATACAGAATAATCAAATTAACAGTTTAGCATATAATATCAACTACTTATGATAATAGTGATTATTAATTTATTTTTATTTATTTTTTAGCTCAAGATACTTTACGTCAATATTTCACCCAATTAAGAATCGAAATTGGTGTTCGTCTTACCCAACGTGTTTATGCTGTTGATCCAGCTAGACCAAACAAATGGTGGATGTGTTTCTCAAAGAGAAAGTTCTTAAACAAAGCTCTTTAAACAATAACAATCAAAACAAAACCATTATTCTAATTTATTTATAAAAAAAATAAAACCCTCAAAAAAATACTGTTAAATTATTATATAAAATAAAAAACTAAAAAAAAAAAAACACATAATAAATGTATTAAAAAAATAATAAAAAAAATAAAATAAAATTATTTTTTTTACTTTTGAATAAATTATAACATTTATAAATTATTCTTTTATTTGTTTATTTATTTCGAAAATTGTTTTTGTACTTTGTGATAATACTCTAATTCGTCTAAACTGACTGATGGCACTAATGATTCAACTGCTTGAATAAAGTGTTTTTGTTCTACAATTAGCTTTTGATCATTTGATGACATATCATCTTCTGAAATTTGGTTGTTGGTAAGTTTTTGGATTCTATCTTTCATTGAATTTGCTAAAGCATCAGAACAAAGTGCATAAAAATCGGCACCAGTTAAATTCATTGGACATGTTTCAACTACTTTTCTTAAATCTACATTATCACTTAAATTAAACCTATTGTTAAAAAAATAAATTGTTAGTATTTTTATATTTTAAAATTAATAAAACATATTTAATATTTACTTTCTTGTTAAAGCTTGACAAATTTTAAATTGATTATCTTTATCTGTACTAATACCCAAATATAATAGTCTATCTAATCTACCAGGTCTCATTAATGATGAGTCCAAAAGATCTGGTCTATTGGTAGCACCAATAATAAATACATCAGAGGATTTACCCATACCATCTAATTCTGCTAATAGTTGAGATACTACACGATCCATGACACCACCACTATCAGCACCATTACCCCTACTTGGGGCCAATGAATCCAATTCATCAAAAAAGATAACACAGGGTTTTGCTTGTCTTGCTTTATTAAAGATATCTCTAATATTTTTTTCACTTTCACCAATATACATGTTGATAAGTTCTGGACCTTTGACGGAAAGGAAGTTTAATGAGCATTCTGTGGCTATAGCTTTGGCTAATAAAGTTTTACCAGTACCAGGTGGACCATATAATAAAATACCGGATCTTTTACCAATACCAGAGGCAAAGAGGTGTGGGTGCTCTAATGGTAGCTGAATTGTATCCATAATTTCACTTTTTACACTTGCTAAACCACCAACATCGTCCCAAGATACATTTGGAATTTTGGGTGCGCCGATTGACGATGATTGAAAATCTTGCATCTCTGATAATGACTTTGTGATATCATCTTGAATGATATTGAATCCACAATTATAAATTTCGGTTGGTGTAATTTCATTATTCATTGATTTTTGGATCTCTAATACTCTTTTTAATGCATTGACTGATGATCTTTGTATTAATGTTTTTAAATTTTGTTGTAAAAATGAAGCTGTTCTAATTGCTAAATTTTTACTTGATATTGTCTTATCAATTGGTAGTTGCTTTAATAAATAATTTAAAATTTTAAATCTTTGATTTTCATCTGGTGCCTGGAAATATAAAATAAATAAAAAAAGATGTTAATTTTTTTTTTATCTTTTTTTTATCTTTTTTTATCTTACATTTAATAAAATTTCGTGTTTAAACCAATTTCTAACTTTATTTGATAGTTCATCCAGAGAGTTTACAGTTGCAGCAATGATTAGTGGATATTTGTTAAATTGATCATTATTGTTTACTTTTTCATTAATTTCTTTTAGGGTATTTATAAGGGTTTGGGATAGATTTGATTCTTTCTTTTCTTGTTGCATACTTTGGGTTGTTTGTTCCAATACGTCAAAGTTTTTTAAAATTAATAAAGTTGGTGTATTGTTTGAGGCATCTTCTAAAATCTTTTGAATCTTTAGTTCTTTTTTGGTTTCGATAAAATCATAAATTTCGAAACAATCAACTTCAAATGTATGAATACCTAGATGGGAGGCCACACACTTTAACAAAGTCTTTTTACCAACACCTTGTGGGCCATGTAATAATATTGTACAGTTGAAATCGAATTGAAATTTGTCACCGATTAAAAATGGAAGTGTCAAATCTACTATATGTTTAAATTCTTTATCATAAACCATATCCAATGGTATTGATGGTTCATTCTTTTCATCTCTTGAATAAAATGACTCGATTTTGCTTGGTATCATTGAGTTACTTGATCCTTCTTGGATAATCGATGTTTTGTTTTTATCTATTAAATAAATTTGATTATTATTTGTAATATCATATTGATTAAACATTAGACTATCAACTTTAAAATATATTAATTCATTCTTATTAATTGTAATATTATTATTTGGTTGTTGTTGGTCGGTGTTAGATTGACTATTGATTATTATTATATCATTTTGTTTTAATAGTCTTTTTTTATTGAAATATTTTTCTAATTGTTGTGAATATGATTTATAACCACTTGAGTTTTGAGTTTTAATTCTTGATATTTTAATTCTATTTGCAACAGGGAAATTGATTGGATAGTCATTTTTTGAGGTACTACTTGGTGATAAAGGGGGTGATGATTCATTGGTTTCATTTAAAATTTGATTTGATACCTTTAATATTATAATTTCGAATTGCTCTAAAATTACATCATTATTAGATAGTTTAAGGAAGTTTTTAAAATCTAAACCTAAATTAAATATTGATAAAGGTGGTAAATAAACCAAGTTGTCATTTAGTTTTGGTGTTTCTGATGAGAGTAATGATGGTTCAATAGAGAATATTTTAATGGCAATTTCTTTTCCTTCTTCATTTAAATTTTTAACTTTTACCCATGACCCATTAAATAACCCTAGTTGTTTTAAAGTTGGTAGTGTTACTAAGCAATCGACTAAATAGTCATATTCCTTTGAAATTAATTGTTTTAAATCATTTTCGTTTGAAATTGGTGGTAGTTGTTTAATGTTTATAATTTTTTTACTATTTAATAAAAGGCTTTTTGAATTTGGTATAAAATGGAATAAGCTATTGGTTGGTGATTTTGGAGTTAGCAATGAACTATCCAAAGGGTGAATAATAAAATTTGAAATCCTTAAATTTTTATTTATTGCTTTGTTTGATAGGGAGGATGAGGAGGTTGATGACTGTAATGTTTCTAATTCTTTTTCCTCTTGTTCGATTTGTTGTTGTTGTTCTTTAAAATTATCTAGAATTTTATCGTCAGGACTAATAACAATAATAGTGGTGGAGCTCGAAACAGTACCTTGGTTTAATGGATAGCATTCCAATACTTTATAAGAGAATGTGTGATCTCCATGGATTACAATATTATTTGGAGAAGAGAATATAATTGAGTTGTCGATTAAATAGTTTCTAAATTCTTCATTTACAGAATATTTGTTAACTGATGTGGAAGTGTTATTATTATTATTATTATTATTATTATTATTATTATTTAATGATGATTCATTATACGATATTAAATCATTTGCTAATAATACAGCTCTTTGCAATGTTGTTAAGTTTTTTTTAATTGGCTTTATATGAACATTGTCTTTGTTGGTTATTTTAATTTTATACGAACAGGTTTTTGATATTATAATATGGTTGTTTTCATTTGGTATATAGTTATTTATAAATATGATATCGAATGATAATAAAAATTCTTTATGATTATTTTTATATTTTATAATATCATTGTTATCATTATTATCATTATTATTGTTAATAGTGTTATTACTATACATTGATTTATATAAAAGTATAAAATAATCACTTATTATTGATGGATCGAATTGGTTTGGATTATATGATTTATCAAATGGAATTATGATTGTATCTAAAGTATTATTATTACTACTATTGTCATTATTATAGCAATATCTATTTAAAAAAGTTTCATCATCTAATACTGATATATGAAACCAATGGTTTTTAAATATTCCATTCATTTTTATTTTAAATAATTTTAAAAAATAAAAAATAAAAAAATTAATAAAAAAAAAAAATTTTACATATGAAAAAAACAATTTATTTTTTTAAAAATTAAATAAAAAAAATAAAAATAAAAAAAAAAATAAAAAAAAATTGACGAAAAAAATTATATTTAATAACAGAAAAATGTATAATAATAGTGATGATGACAATGACGATAGTTCATACGAATTTAAAGATAAATATGATGATATTTATTCAAAGCTTTCAGAAGAGGGTCAAGGTAAAAAATAAAATAAAATAAAAAATAAAAACTTGCAATCAATATAAATATGTATTAATATTTATTCAAGATTTTTATTTTATAAATGAAATTGATAGGATCGAAAAACCAACTCCTCTAGAATTTTATAGAGATTATGTTTCACAGAATAAACCAGTTATAATTAAAGGATTAATTGATGATTGGAAAGCATTGGAATTATGGAATGATGAATATTTAAAAAAAGTGTTATATAATGTGGATGTATCAATCGCAGTAACACCAGATGGATTTGCAGATGCAGTTAAACCAATCGATCCAAATAATTTAGATAGCGAGCAAGTGTTTGTAAAGCCATTCGAAAAAAAAATTAAATTTCAGGAATATATAAATATTACAGATTCATTGAATCAAGATGGAACATCAAAAGATGGTTTAGTATACTATATACAGTATCAAAATAATAGTTTTAATTTAGAATATGAAAGGTTATGGAAGGATATTTCAACATCAGTTTCAGATTTTGGTAAACAGGTATTTGGCGAATTTGAAGTTGATGCTGTTAATTTCTGGATGGGTATGTCTAATGCAATTTCATCATTACATAAGGATCCATATGAAAATCTATATGCAGTAGTAAAAGGCACAAAAATATTCACTTTATTACCACCAACCGATTATCCATTTCTCTATGAAAGAGATTTTAAATCTGCAACATATGTAAATGAAGTATCATCATCATCACCATTTCATCTGGTTGCTAAATTAGATGAACCTTCGTTCACATTACCATGGATACCAGTCGACCCAACTAAACCATTGCAAGATAATATTAAAAGTGGTTATCCATTAATCGAAAGAGCACATCCAATAGATATTCAAGTACACGAAGGTGAGGTTTTATACTTACCATCACTGTATTACCATAGAGTCGCACAAAAATCCAACCCATCATCTGGTTCAAATTCAACTATAGCAATTAATTATTGGTTTAATATGAAATACAATTTAAATTATGTTTATTATCAATTCCTAAGAAATTTAAAGAATTTTAATTTTACAAAGAAATAAAAAATAAAAGATGTAATTTAAAAAAAAATAGAAAAAAAGAGAAAAAAAAAAAGTTTTATTTACATTTATATTTAATTAGTTTAGCATTGAGATTCTTTGTAAATATCTTTCTCTTGCAGCTTGGATTGATTTTTCGTCATTTCTTCTTGTGTTATATCGTTCATAATCATTTACTAATTTCTTGTTTTCATCTTCTCTTTTTATAAATTGAGGTTCATAGTATCTCTTTTTGGGGTTATTGTCGGCATTGTTGTAGCTCTTTAGTTTATCTTTATTATCTGATTTATTATTATTATTATTATAGTTTCTATATTTTTCAATTATTTTTTCTTTTTCTGTATCATTATTACTATTGGTTGTATTTTTTGATTTATCATAAATTGAAGACAACATATTTTTTTGAAATGAACCTATATTTTTTTTTTTTGATTGTTCTAGTTCTTCGTTTTCATCCTTCTCCCTTTGTAAACGATCTTGTTCTAATTTCTTTTTATATGCTGATGTTACATAAACTTCTTTATCTTTAAATTGGTCACCTTCTTTTTCTCTCTCTTTTTGAATTTTATATTCTTTTACTCTTTCATAGTCTTTTTTCTTTTGCAGAGATTGTTGCATTAAACCTGCTATATATCTTGACTCTTTTTTGGAATCTCTTTCTTGCATTTGAGTTTGTTTCTTTTCTCTATCTTTTTTAATCGAGTCATAGACTGAATCGTATTCAAATGCAGTTGGATCATCTTCTAATGCTTTATTAAAAGTTTTTTCTACTTTTGTATTTGTACCCATTTTCTGTTTAACATAATCTATATGACCGCTGTCTTCATCTTCATTAAATTTACTATCGTCATCTTCATCTTCGTTATTAAAGGCATTTTTTAATTTGGATTTTGGTAGTTGTAAACCATATTTTTTTGCAGGATCTGACATATCTATTATTAAAATTATTGGAAATAAATAAATAAAAAATTTGTAAAAAAAAAAAAAAAAAAAAAAAATTTAATTTTAAAATGTTTTTATTTTTTTAATTTTTTATTTATTTTCTTTCATATTGGGATAATAGAATTGTATTTTTTTTATTTGTATATTATTATTTAGGTAGTTTGTTTATTATAATTGGTAGGTTTTCTAATTCACAAAATTTGTTTCATAAGTTATCTTTCATTTTTAGGTTATTCAAAAAGTTTTTTTTTTTTTATAAAAAATAATCTGTGGGGCAAACAAAACAGAAATATTTCATGTATTTTTTTTTAAGACCCCTTTGTTTTGTAAAAAAATAACAATATTAATTAATATTAAATTATAATTATAATAAAAAAAAAATAATTAAAAAATTAACAATCTATTGGTTTTTTATTACCATAAATATTTTTTCGCTCACCACTCAATATTTAACATTGTTGTTATAATAACAACAATGAAAATTGCACATAAACATATTTTTTCTTTATTAAATAATAATATAGTATATACTATAATAATTATAATAAATAATAATAAATAATAATACATTATTGTGTTTATTTTTTTTTTAAAAACCCGCCCTTTTTTTAATTTTTTTAAAAAGGGGGTTTGCCAAAAAAAAAATTTTTAAAATTTAGGGGGCCAATTTCCCCCCCTTTTTGGTTTGAGTGATAGTTTAAAATTGATTTTATTTTTTTTTTTTTTTTTTTTTTTTTTTTTTTTTTTTTTTTTTTTTTTTTTACTTTTATTTTATTTTATTTAATTTATTTATATCAATTTTTTTTTTTTTTCTATTGACCAATAGTATTATTTTTAATATTTTTTTTTTCTATTTCTTTTGTCTTTTATTTCATGTTTGTTCATTAGTTTAATATATTTGGATTAGAAATATAAATTTTTTTTTTTTTTTTTAATATTCTGTTGTCATTGATTTATGGTCGTTTGGAAATGAATATTTTTTTTACTCTTTTTATTATATTTTTTATATATTGTTTATTCTCTTTTGTAAGATTTTTTATAAAATTAAAATCATTTTCGAATATTAACCTTTTTTTTTATTTTTTATTTTTTATTAAATTTAGTATCAAAAAAACATCAAATCTTATAAAAATGACCTTCCAGGACCAGTAGGATTACCAATCATTGGAAATCTATTAGGATTAAAGGACAATCCCTATTCAACAATGGATTATTACCATATTTTATATGGCGGTATTTATAGATTGTGGCTTGGGGAATATTATATGATATCGGTGAGTGACCCCGATATAGTAAGGGAAATGTTGGTAAAAAATCATTCATCCTTTTCCTCGTAAGTTTTTTATACAATACAAGTAATATTAAAAAAACTAAACTTACCAATTTATTTATTATTATTTCTAGACGACCAAATTTACCAATTGTTGCATTTGGTTCAAATAATTTTAAGGGTAATAATTAACTTTATTTATTTTTAATAGACATAGAATCAATTATTAATTAAAAATAGGTATTTCAGGGTCTTCAGGTACATATTGGAAAAAGAATAGGAATTTATTACTCAGTGCAATGAAAGGAGCAAACACAAAACATGTTTATGAGTTATTAAATTATAAAGTTCAATCACTAATTGAAATTATGAATACAATTCAATTATCAAATGATTATGTAAATAGAGCTTATATTATTGAAGTTTAACTTAAATAATACTAATTCTTTTTTTTATATAGTTTGAGCCCAGAATTTTTGCCCCAAGATTTGCAATTTCAACAATGTTTAAATATTTATTTAACGAAAATATACCCTATTTTAATCACGAAGATAAATTAATATCATTAATTCAAGAATCGTTTAGCTTTATGACATTAGGAAATGTGGGTGACTTTTTTTCAAAACTACATCCATTATATTTCAGATATTTACACTCAAAAGGCAAATGTTTTGAAAAGATTAGGGATTTTCTAAGAGAAAAGTATAATGAACATTATCAAACCATCGATAAAGAAAAACCAAGAGATTTATTGGATTTCTTAATATATGAATATGGTGAACCAACTGAAGAAAATATCACAACAATTATTCAAGTTTTGTTTGATTTATTGTTAGCTGGAACGTAAGTTACAATAAACATAAATGAAAAAAAAAGATAGGTATTAATATAATATTTTGTTTTTAGTGATACAGTTTATTCATCGATTGAATGGATTTTGCTTTTATTTACAAATAATTATGACTATCAACAAAAAATTTATAAAGAACTAAAAGAAGTTGTCGGTAATAGGGAAAGAGTGTTACTTTCAGATAGACCACAGACAGTTTTTACTCAAGCATGTATAAAAGAAGCTATGCGATTTAAAGCTCCATCTCCGTTTGGATTGCCTCACACAGTTACACAGGATATTTTAATTAAAGACTATTTTATTCCAAAAGATTCAATGGTTCTTGTTAACTACTATTCAATAGCCCAAAATCATAAATATTTCCCAAACCCTCATATATTCGACCCATATAGATTCATGGGAACTCAACAGCCCGATGGATTTATGGTATTTTCAGTTGGTAGCCGAGCATGTTTGTAAGTTTAATAAAGAAAAAATATGGTATTTCAATTTTATTAATTTTTTTTTTTTTTCTAAAATTTAGGGGTCAATCATTAGCAATGGATTCTATATATTTGTTAATTTCAAATATAATATTAAATTTTAATTTAAAGTCTATTGATGGAAAAAAAATTGATGATTCGAATCATGGTGGGTATTTAATTTTTCTTCATTTTAATTAAGTTAAAATACTAATCATTTAAATTTTAGTTTCAGGTTTAAATTTAAGACCAAACAGATATAAATTAAAATTAGAAAAAAGATATTAAAAACTAATAATGTTAAAAAAATAAAAAAATAAAAACTACAAAATTAAATAAAAAATAAGTAAACCAATTTTTATTTTTATATTTTTTAAACCAAATAACTATCTTGACTCTAAATTGATTTTAAAATCATTTGGTCTCATCGTTAAGCCAAAATCTATATAATTTAATTAAATACATTAGCCAGTTTTTTTTTTTTTTTTTTTTTTTAAAAATATACTTACTTTCATTTTCATCAATAAAATTACCATCAATAGGTAATAATTTGAACTTTAATAAAATGTTTGCAATGCATAGATATATTTGATCTTGGGCTAATTGTTGACCTCTTTTAAGAAATATATATTAATTATTTTTGCTAATATTTTATAAAATAATATATTATTTTACATACAAACAGTTTCTTGGTCCTAAACCAAAAGGGAAGTGTGTTTCTGGGGTTGGTCCTAAAAATCTAGAAGGATCGAAATAACATGGATTGTTATAGTAATTTTCATTATATCCAATGCTATGATAGTTTATAAAAACATAACTCTTTTAAAAAAATACAAAATTAGTTTTTTTTATTAATATCTATATAATAATTTTTTAATTACATTTTTTGGAATAAAGTGATCTTTTATATAGACATCTTGGTTATTTAATCTAGGTAAACCAAATACAACTATGGGATGCATTCTATATACCTCTTTTATAATTGCTTGAAGATATGGTGTATTAGGTCTATCTGATAACAAAACCTTATCTCTTCCATTTTGGATTGCATTTTTTATTTCATTGTATGCTTTTTCTTGATGCTCTGGATAATTAACTAATTTTAAAATTAACCAAACTAATGAGTTTGATGCTAAAAAAAATGTTAATAATTAAAAATAAAAATTAAAATTTTATAAACTTACATGTATCAGTACCAGCTAAAAATATATCTAGTGTAACTTGGGTTATATTTAATATATCATCCATATTTGTTGACATTTCATAGTTATCTATTAAAATATCTAATAAATCTCTGGGGCTTTTTTGATAGAGTATTAATATAATTTTTTTTTTTTTTTTTAATTTTAAAACTTACCTTTCTTTATTAAAACTCTTTAAATGTTCATTATATTTTTCTATTATTAAGTTTTTTAGAGTTTTAAAGTTTTTATCTGTTTTTTTTAAATAATAATAAAAAATTGATTGAAATATTTTAACATGGTCACCTAATCTGCTAACACTCAATAATTTGAATATTTTTTCCATTTCATTTGTTAGCTTGTAAACACTCCCTGATTTAAGATCATCGTCTAAAGGAAGTTTTTCATTAAATATATATTTTAACATTGTCGACAAAACAAATTTTCTAATATAAAGTTTGGGATTAAACTTATAAATAAAAATAATTAATAATTTTTCCGTTTTTTATAAAAAAAAAAAACTTACATTAGTTTTTTTTGTTTCATAGGTTGACATTGATTTGATTAACTCTTCGACTTGAGTATCCAATAAACTATAGATATGTTTAATGTTGGCTTTTCTAATTGCTTTAGAAATTATTTTTTTGTTTTTTTCCCAACATTCCCCATGTGCTCCATTGATACCACGATAACCATTTGTTCCAATGTTAAGAGTTGGTGTTTTTGGTCTATTATTGAATAACTCCCAATTGTGAATAAAAATTTCTTTTATTAACTCTAAATCTGATATGAAAAAAGCTTTTGTATCACCAATGTAAATTCTAACAATACCTTTATTTCCAAATTCTTTTTCCATCTTTGTTATCAAATGGTGAGGAGCTTTTTTAAATTGATGAATATTCCCAATTAATGGTAATGCTAATGGGCCATTTGGTTCTTTTTTATTGATTTTTTTATTTAAAATAATCTATATAATAAATTTAAGTGGTTAGATTTGATAAAAAATAAATTAAGAATATATATTTCTTCATAAATAAAGAAAACTTACAAAAGTACGAATAAAATAAAACAAAATTAAATAACATATAAGTTTTAATAAAAACATTTTATTTTTTTGATTTGTTTTTTTTATTCTCTGTTATTATAATAAATATAAAAAAAAAAAACAAACAACAATTTTTTATATATTTTTAAAAAATTAAAATAAAAATATAAAAAAAAAAAAAATGTTCTATTTTCAAATTATTTAGTATATTTATAAATTATTATAAAATACTTTAGACACCCAAACATCCAAAACATACAGTTAATTTAAATACCATATAAAAAACACCCTTTAATAACTATAATATATAATCTAACCACACACATTCGAAAATACCCACCAACTCTAACACTCACACAACAAATTGTAAAGTTTTTTTTTTTTTAAAATGAAATTTTGGGTTTGCAAAAATATAAATAATAATAATAATATTAAAAAATAATAAATAATAAATAACAATAATGAAATAAAATTAAATTTGACATATATAAGATATGTTTTTTATATAATAAAAATTAAAATATAAAAAAAAAATATATATATCTTTTTTAAAAAACAGTATTTATAAAAAACAAACACACAATATAGTGTTTCATAACAATCTATTTTAGTGTATAAATAACAATATGAGTTTATTTTAATGAGGTTTAAAAATAATATTTATAAAAAATAAAATAATAAAGAAAAAAAAAAAAAAAAAGTAATATAGATGTAAAGTAATATATAGTCAACAAAGAGTGAGTTTATTAATTTTTATTTTTACCATTATCGTTGTTGTTATTGTTTCTTATTGGCTATATAGATCCTAATTGTTACTTTTTTATATTTGTTATATAAAATTTTTGTTGTTATAATTACTATTATATTTTATTTTTTAGATATCAAAATATAATTACATATGATTGAAAAAAAAAAAAAATATATTTTTCTTGTATATTTCATTTTATTTTGATTTTTATAATTAAAAAATTAATTTTAATAGTTTATTATTTTATAAAAAAAAAATAATATTGCAAATGTTATTTTTTTTTTTTTTTTTTTTTTTTTTTTTCTTTAAGCCATATAATTATAAATCATTGGATTTTCTGGATCTCTGCATAAATATTCCTTTTCAATTAAAACTTCAATTCTCTTTTTAAGATCTGTTGGTTTTGGTTGGAATTTTAATAAACCTATTAACTCTGAAATTAAAAGATTATGGTTCAAGGTTTTTCTTGTTTTCATAATTCTAACAATGGCGGCATCAACTTGATATTGACGATCAGCAATAATAACTTCGTTTGTTTTTTTATTCTCTTCAACGGTTTCTTGGGTTTGAATAGAGTTTACTTTGATTTTAAATAGTTTGTGTGTGAATTTTGTGTTGAATGCAAAAGAATCATTTTCGTCGATGGATTTTGATTTAGTTGAACTACTTGATTTTTTAACTAAAATTTCTGATTTTGATGAAGATAATGATAAAAGATTCTTTTTTAACTCGTCCACTGGCAAACCTGTATTTACTTGAATATCTTTGAATGAAATTTCATCATAGTCATTAAAGAGATAGAGGATAATAGTTTGAAATAATGAAACGGAAATTTCTTTTTTTGCTGATGGGAAATGAGCTTTTAAAACACAATATGATAATGCGTTTTGCCACTTTAATGTTTTACCACTATGCTTTGAAAGATAAAATCTATTGAAGACCTCTTGATACTCTATAAATTCTTTGGGTAAAATTGCATCGATTGGTTGTTGGAATGGCCAATTACCATGGGTTAAAACATAAATATTCATTTCGATACTCTTATAATTTTGAATAAATGGTGAATCTTTAAATGCATTCATAATATCATTTGATAATTCAATATCTTTAAACATTGCTTCTAATTTTGCTGTGAAAGTGGTACCACATTCTGTCTTTAGTTTTTGAATCATTGATTTTTCGGAATCAATAGAAATACTCTTATCTAATAATAAACGTTTTGAAAGATCTTGCTTATAGAATGCTTCGAAAACATCTTTACCTTGAATGTATCTAAAGAGAATCAACGACTTGTTCAAGACAATTTCCAACTCTTCCTCTGACATTCTTTTACCACCAATCTTTAATTTCGAATCGATAAATCTTGCAATAAGCTCTGCTGGCTTGTTCTGTCTAGTATTTATAAAGTATTCGAATGATTCTTTAAGTGAATAGGTGAGTGTATCATTTTTGAGGAATGATTGTTCTAAAATTTTATCTAGACGATCTTTGAACTCTAATAGATCCTGAATTAATGTTTGCTCCTTTTCTGAATCTTGTACCATTTGTTGACCAGTAGTTTTTATATAGTTTGACCATGATTGCTTTAACTTGCCAACTTCATTAATACCATTCAATAAAACGTATAGCCTATTCAAATCCTCAATTCTACTTTCTTCCACCATCGATTTAAACCCTTTACTTAAAATAATATCAACATGTTTTTCTATTAATTGCTTCTCTAAAACTGAAATTAATTGTTTCTTTGTACCCTGATCTAAATATCTTATTAATCTTTCACCCTCTTGAGTTAATCTATTACTAATATGCTTTAAATAAACTGGAATTTCATTTTCAAAAACTTTAACTTGACCTTCTGATTGATAAAACCTATCTGTTTCTTTTATAAATTCCTTTTCGAATAATGAATAAATCTATAATTAAAATATAAAAAAAATTAAAAAATAAAAAACTCTATTAATAAATGATTTTTATATTTTATATTTGTTATTTTGAAATACTTACATGTAAAGCAGACAACATTTTAATTAAACTATGCATTAAATCCCTATCAATTTCGTCACCTTTTCTTTCATTTGTAATTGAAAGTAATAAACTTTGATTTGTTTTATTTAATAATTGTGAAAGTGATTTTAAAGTATTACCAAAATAAAATAAACCTAAATCCCAAATTGATTTAACATTTTGAGTTTGAATTACATAAGTTCTATCTAAATATAAAAATATACTTCTTATCATAATCTATTATTATTGTTATAATTGTATTTAAAAAAAATATTGATTAATTTATATTTATAATATTAAAATTAAAATTAAAATTAAAGTATATACCATTTGACTTGTATGATCTCTCCAAACTGAATTCATTGATTTCAAAAATAACACTGGATCTGTTGGTTGGTTTAAAGCTAAATGTTTCAATGTGTTTGTGATATGTTGTTCCAACTGTACTGAAATTTTATTGTATAGATTTGCTGCCAATTGTTTATCGGAACATAAATTTTCAACCATTTTATAAAGCTCTTCTTGTGTTAGTTGAGTCGCCTCTTTTTTATTAATTGATGTGATTGCGGAACTTAATTTAAGCCATGATGTTTCTTCGTAATTGTCGGGTGTTTTTGGAACTTGTTTTAAATTTTTAATTGTTAATATCTTTTTTGCTGGTGGTGTTGATGCTAAGCTGTTTGTTAATGGTTTCTTATTATTGCTATTACTACCAAAATTCATTTTTTATTTTTTATTTTCTTTATTAATTATCCTTTTTAAAATTAATTTAGTTTACAATTTATATTACAATTAAAAAAAAATAAATAAATATATAAATATATAAATATATAAACAAACAAAAAAAATTAAAAAAAAAAAATTAAAAAATTAAAATTTTTTTTTTTTTTTGAATTAAAATTTTTTTAATTTTTTTAAATTTTTTTCACTTAAAAAAAAATTATTTCTAAATAATTATTTCTTTTTTAGGATCAAATGAAACATTATCTTTTTTTTATAAAATAATATAGATCCATAATTAAATAACCATAAATAATTATTTTCATTTTAAAACTTGATTTCTATTTTTTGATTATTCAATTAATTAAATTTAATCTAAAAAAAAGAAAAAAATTTTTGATCTCTATTGAATGAAATAAATTATTGAGTTCTCATAAATATCCACTAGTGATCAAATAAAAAAAGAAAAATAAAACCCAAATTTGGAAAAAAATTTTAAAAAAAACAAAAAAAAAACCCAAAAAAACCCAAAAAAAAAAAAAAAAAAATGATTAAAAATAAAAATAAAACTAAATTTATTAATACTTATATTTAATAATAAAATAAAATATACATTTTTCATGTTTATTTTTTTATTTTATTTTTTTTTTTTTTTTTTTTTTTTTATTTTTTTATTTTTTATTTTTTATATTTGTTTATTTTTCTTTGCAAAATTTATAAACCATAAAAACAACCATTTAATTGAAAAAAAAAGAAAAATTTTATAAAAAAATAAAAAAATTTAAATTTTTTTTTATTTTTTTTTTTTATTTTTTTATTTTTGTAAAATTTATTGCAAAGGAAAAATAAAAATAAAAGTAAAATATATTCTATATATTTTATTATTTTTTTAAAATAAATGTCAGAAAGGAAAGAGGAACTATATCAGCTTTTAGATGATATTATTGATATGAAACCAACTGCATTCACCCTCTACCCACCAACCAAATAATGAATTAATAGA